TTTTCTTCTGCCTTGCTGCCCTGAGCATTCTTTCTTTGTCATTCATTTTTGCAATTTTTACTGCTATATGCCTTGCAGTAGGTCTTTTTACATTGACATATCTGGGAGATCTGAAAGCTTCCTCCACACACATTTCTCTCTCAATCCCTAGATTTGGGAAGTTCTCTGCTATTATTTCTTTGAGCATGCTTTCTGCTCCATTTTCTTTTTCCTCGCCCTTGGGAAAACTGATGATTCTTAAGTTGCATTTTCTCATTGAGTCGGCTATTTCTCGGAGAGTTTTTTTAGTCTTAGTTCTCTTTCTTCCTCTGTCTGGAGCCACTCAACCTGTATATCTTTGATTACGCTGATTTGCTCCTCTATGGTGACCACATGGGCATTCAGGGAATCCGTGTTCTGTGTTATCTGATCCATTGTATTTTTCATCTCTAGTATTTCTGATTGATTCTTCTTTATAGTTTCAATCTCTTTTGTGAAGTAGCTCCAGAACTCGTTGACTTGTTTCTCTATATTTCCCTTTACCTCATTGAGTTTTTTGATGATAGCTATTCTGAATTCACTATCGTTTGATTTACCTATTTCCGAGCCCTCAGGACATAATTCTGTGTTTTTATTCTTTTCTTTCTGGTCTGGAGCTTTTATAAATTGCTGGATGGTAGAGGAGCAGATTTTCCGCATAATGCTATTATTTGGTTGCAGTTACAGCCTGTTGCCACTAGATGGGGGTCGAGAATCCGATATTATGAGCCCTCTGCCTTCAGCTGAGATGGCAGTGCACAGCATGGGTTGGGGGCGGGGCACTTTCTCTTGTGCACAGACCCAGGTTTCCCATCAGCTCTGGCTCTCTGGTTTCCTGGGGCCTTGGCTTATTGGGGTCCCCTCACATGAAAGCTTTCCCCTGTTAGAGGGCTTCCGTCTGGGCAGCACTGGCCCTGGGAGTCCAGGACAATCCCCTGGATGCGTGGCCCCTCCCCCACTCCTTCCCTGTTGGAGCCTCCTGTGGCAGTGATCCCAGTCTTTAGGGGAGGGAGCGAAGTTCTCTCTTACCCCATTCCAGCTCCCCCCAGGGGGTTCCAGCCTCTCTGCCCTCTGTCATTTGGCTGCTGTGGGTCTCTGAGGATTCACGTGCTATTAGGATATTTTTTTTTGGAATGTGGTTGCTCCTTTTTGTTGTATGTTGGAAGGGAGAGAGTCCTGTGCGAGCTCACTCCACTGTGATGCTGATGTCACTCCTCCTCTTACTTTTCTGACTTTCATGACATTTATGTTTTTTAAGAGAAAAACATAATGACAGCAATATATTATAGATTATGTATAGATTTGTATGCAGAGATTTATACATAATCTCTAATTTATACATAAATCTATGTGTTTAATATATTAATATAATATCTACTATAGAATATATACTGAATATTCTCGTGAATTCTTACATAATATATAATTTATTGGGAAGAAATCTTCGAATGAAAGGGAACAGCAAGGGCAAAGAACCTAAAGAAATTCCTTGTATCTGCTCTGCCCAATATGGTAGCTATAGTGAACACTTATACATATAATTGTTGTATGGATTATAGATGATGTAAGAATTCATGAGTCCATATTAATAAATAAATAAAAACATAAATAAATAATAAAATAGAGAAAGCCCTTCTTTCTGTAAAACAATGAAACTATAGAAAGGAATGACAGAATTAGAGAATTACCATTTTGCAACCATTATGGTAATAATTGATTCAAGCAAGAATTATCAATGGATACTAAAACTGTGGATAAAAGTTTGAAGAGGAAAAAGATATTTATATAGCCCCAAAATATTGCCCCACGAATCATTTATTAATTAGAAAGTAAAAGACAATAACTTTATAGTGGATAAACATGGAGGATATCATTTTAACCAAGCAGCCAAAGTTAGTGCCACCAGTGACAGAACAAACCGTCCTCATTTGCCTCTTTATATGATGCACTAAGGAGGGCACAACTTCACTTATGTGGTATTCCTGTTAAAAAATAAATCTATTCACGAGGAAACAGACAAACCCAAACTGAGGGATATTGTACAAAATAACGTTTGCTCTTTAATGAAAAAGTTGCTCAAATTGTGTTGCATCAAAAGTTGCATTATCGAAGAACACCACTAGATGCCACTGTGGCTTTGCAAGTAGCACAACTTTTATCCACGTTAAAGAACATCAGTTCCTTTGTAGGCTGCCTCCTTACTTTGACACCTTTGTGCACTGGACACATTTACCCAATTCCGACACATATAGCTTTGGGGAAGCTTCCAAGTTAAATAATGGTAAAAGCAGTGGAGGGGGAGGCAGCAGGCTGAGATTAAAGCCTGTCTTGGCCATTGCAAGCTTGTCTCCGGGCCTTGGTGTCCTCGGGTGTAAAATGAGGGGATTTGGTTGTTTGCTCCAACTCTCCTTTAGCTCTGCCAGTCTATGATTTCACGCTGATATTTTCTTAACTAAAATTGTTTCCGTCCTCCTTAACAAGACTTTTGCCCAACTGCGTTGGACCCACTACTGGTCTTTGCTTTTTCCTACAGTACTCTAACTTACCCAATGCTTGTCTTTAAGTTGACTCGGTTTTTAAAAATGTAAATAAAGAAAAAAATTTATAGGCCGATCACAAATGGAAACCAGTTCACTTGCCATAAATAGAAGGCAGCCGCAAAAAGAAATATAATAAAAACTACATAGCGTCATTAAATTCGAGCTACATATATTGTCTGCCAAAGCCTCAGAGCCTGTGGCCTGCTCTGTTTTTCTTTTTTAATGGGAGGTGCTAAAGAGAAGTTGAAGACAGGCTAGCCCTGAGACCTTCCTCTTGATGGAAGCAAAAGAAGTGAGACTGGGAAGGGATCCTTCTGTCTGTGCAGTTCACTATTATTTAATCCGGTATCCACAAAACCAACCACAATACTTCGTATGCCATTTAAACCAGTCCCGTGCTTTCATGAGCTGTCCTAAGTTATATTATTCCCTTTCCTACTTTGAACTCCTGATTCTTCAATATTTCTAATAGACCGGAAATCACACATTATTGTTTTCTTCAATCTGTATTTAAGCTTTCATTTTATTTTGATACTCCTTTCCGTTTCGTATCAGTTTAGCTTCCCTTTAGCGTTTATTTCAATTTGCTTTTACATTCAGTCTTCTTCCATTTAAGACGTTAACGCCCTTTTTAACAGAGGAGATGATATATACCCCTCTGCTGTCAATGTCAAAGCAATTATGTGCCATCAAATGGCTTGTGATTTGGAATCTTCTCCTGATAAAGGCTTATGATAGATAGGATGTGGCAGAGGTCAGGAATTCTGCTGGGTACAACCTGAGGGTATGCTTCAAATTGCTTGAGCTTTACCCAAATCCCCTAGGACACAATCAGAAAACTGGTCCCCTTCAATTTTGGTGCAGAGCTTTTGTCTTCATTCTTCACAAGGATTCAGAGTGAAGACATCCAGGGCTGAGCCCCCTAATTGCTCGCTTTACTCCCTCACGTTAGTGTAGCCCTCTCCTGCTTTGTATAATCTGTTATCATCACTAATTTGCTGGCTACAATTAGCATAGGGGATTGTATAGGAGTAGAGACAATTTCTTAGCTGGCCAATGTTACTAAATAATTTAAAAAGGGGAAGACAAAGAATTTCCATCAATTACGTTTTGTTTTCTTAAGGCCTGTGTTGCCATTAAGGAAAACCATTCTAAGGTAAGAAAAACAGGAAATTCGTAGAGATCAATACATCAATTATTTCCCACATTATAAAAGTCATTTTTTCGTAACTTTCTTTTCTTTGGCGAGGTGCTTTAATTTGCCATTAGAAGCCCAAAAGCTGAGAAGTCATTTTCACTGTTCAACAAAACAGATGCTTTTTGTCTTGCATGAAGCACTGTTCCCATCAGCAAAAAAAAAAAAAAAAAAAAAAAAGACAACCAAAAAAAACTAGAGAGATTTCTTTTCAGAAGAAATTTTCATAAAAAGGTTGATTCTGAATCAATAGAAACTTTTTTTTCTATAGTAAATTCTATAGAACTATGCTCTTACCACCCACCCACCCCAATTCAGAGTAAGAACTGTTTTTCCCTTTTCTGTTCTCAGGTTCATTGCTGTAGCCATGCTCCAATTTAAACCAGAGTGAGCGGATATTATAAGATTTCACAAGATTCACTAAATACACTAATGAAAATCAAATATGAAGCACGATTATTTTCTGGTGAGAGACTTACTTGAGATTTGCTAAAGAGTTCTTCAGTTTTCCTGTTGCCACATTTGTTCTTGATGTTGATGAATGTTTATGATTCCATTATCCTCTTTATGTTTACAGATTCTTACCCCCTATCCCCGCCCAACATTCACTGAATTGTTTTATTATGTGTTGACATCAGTGTTAATGGATGATGGTATTCTGGCAGAGTCTCCTTCCAAGGTTTGCTGAATATCACTAGTAAGTGTACTTTGAGCCCGTTTCTGGAACTGTATCCCCACTATACCGCCAGGGCTGCAAATTATACTTTAGTTCATTGTTTCAAAGTGTCTAGAGCCAACATGTCTGTTTGAGATACTGAGCCGAGTATTGTCTTCCCAGCACATCTATAACTATTGATTCCTATGAGAGAGGCTTAATTATATTTGCGCTTATCTTAGGACCACAGCATCGAAAGAGGCTTTAAAGATCCCTTCATCCCATCTGGTGCCCGGGTCCCTACCGTATCAGCCTTCTCTGGTGCAAGTAATAGAAACCAACTCTGGGCAAGTTAAACCAAAAAGGGTATTTACAGTATTAATAAAATGCGGCTCACGAAATTTAAAAATAAAATAGCCAAAGAACCAGCTTCTGCAGGGTCAGAAACCATTTGGACTCTGGGGATCTAGGAAGTGCATACTAATTGGCAGTGTCTTTAAAAGTTAACCAGTGGTGACTCCTACGGGATATTTGGGGGAGCTTAAACTCCCCCTCACCCTGATTCTTAGGCTGGGCAGCTGAGACTTCTTACCCTTATTCCAAATGCCATGTGAAAGTAGTTTCAAGCTGGCCCGGAAATCCTGCCATCGAGCCGAATGCCACCCCCTCGCTTCTACACAGAAATGCTAAGGCCGCCCCTGAGACAACCGCTAGGGGGCATCAGCTTTGCGTTGTGTCCTCGACTCCACCTTTGGACCGCTGCAGAAAGGAGGGTCCAGCGGACGAAGGCCCATGTGACTCGTCTCAGGTCATGACGTGACCACTCTTTGTCCAGGGCTATTGTTAAGTCAAGGTTGTCACAATAGGGGAGAGAGAAGTCCCACCAGGAGAACCGGAGATTGTTCCACATGAGAGGAGGGATGGCCAAAAACCGTGTGTTCACTAACCTTACTAAGAGAGTGACAATCTTCCAGTGATATGGGCTGTGCTGGCTCCTCAAGTACCTCTTGATGAGGCACTTGCGCTAATGGTGGAGTTAATACAGGGTTGCCAAAACCATTTTCCAAAAAGAGTGGAACATGTAGGCTTTTTTCTTGAGTCGTTTTTAAAAGCTTTATGAAAGTATAATTTATATGTAATAAAACTGCACATATTTAAAATGTGGTATCTTATAAGTTTCAACATACATATGTACCTGTGAGACCATTCTCATAGTCAGGTAATGATCATATCTGTCACCATCTATTTGCTTCATGTCCTTTTATAATCTCTCTCCCTGCCCTTCACAATGCTCCAAATAACCGTTGATTTGCTTTTCCTTACAATAGACACCTTTGCATTTTCTAGAATTTACGTGGTTGGAATCCTAAAATGTTTACTCTTTTTTCTTTTTAGTTTGTTCTATGTTTCATAATTACTTTGAGATCCCTCAATGGTATTATATGAATAGCTCATCCTTCTGGGGTTTTTTTGCTGAGTAATATTCTTATCTTTGGATATACCACTATTAGTTTATCCATTCATCTGTTTATGGACATTTGAGTTATTTCCCATTTTTGGCTATTGAAAATAAAGCAGGTACAAACATTTGTGTACAATTGTTAATATGGGAAAAAAGGAGTTTTTATTTTGTCCTGCCTCAAAGGAAATCTTTATTAATCATGCATAGTTCATAGATGTTTTTGAAAAGACCCAACTTTTTAGAAAAGCACAGTCCTCATGAGTGGCTTCAGCTTTGCATCATGAATCTTGTATTCAAAGAAAATCAAAGTGGTACAATTTATTTACATGATGATGCTTTCTAAATAAACTCTTTCTTAAAAAAAGTCTGGTCTTCTCTTAAATGTTACAGCAAAACATATAAAATTGACAACAAATTATAGTTTACATTTACAGAAAAGCTGTAAGTGCAATTATAGATCATAAACGTATTATTCAATCAGTTTAGTAAGAAATGGGTTTCCCAATACATGATTGTGAAAAAGACATTTAAAAAATATCCAAAGATTTAATCCAAGTCTTACTCTCTACAAAGGAAACTGTGATTTCCGTTCATAAAGAGCATGCCCACCCAGACCCCATCCTACAGGCTGGGCGCCCCTGCATCACCTTGTTTCCTTTGTTGCTTCTAACCTGCAACGTGAGATGCTGTGCAGTAAAAGGGGGAGAACCATTTTACCGGAATAGATGAGATATTAGAGCCAATGTTGCTGAAGTTAGGGTGCTTTTCAAAGAGCCATTCCAAAAAAGAAGAGGTGCCGAATTGCTTTCACACGTTACACAGTGAAGTGATGACTATTAAAAATGCTTCTCACCCCCTGTAGCCTCACCTCAAAGTGTGGGCGATCCGCTTTCAGTTCTGACGGCGCCAAGCCTGCCTTTCCTCCAGCAGAATTCAGCCTCTCTTGCCTTGTACCCGCTGAGCCTCACTCCACCTCCTTGCGTCCATCCAAAGCAATCCTTCAGATGTTTGATGTCAGCTCGCAAGTCCCTCTCTCCTTCTCCAGACTTTTCTGAGCTCTGAACTTATTTTCTCTCCCTGGGAGGCGCTTGCTCCAGATCCTTATATGGCCAACTCCTTCTCACTCTTCAGTTCTCACTCAAATGTCATCTCCGCAGAGAGACCTTCTCTGGCAGAGCTGGCTCACTGCCCTCCTCCCCAGTGCTTCCCTCTAGCCACCAGCCTGTTCTTCATACTCTTTGTTGTAATCTGAAATTACCCCTTTTTTGGACTTACTTTTCACTGTCTTTCTCCCCATAAGCTGTAAGCTCCATGAGAACAGAGACGTTCTCTGACTTTGTTACTGTATGCTCATTGTCTAGAACTGCTGTTTATACTAAAGTTGCACAATAAATATTTATTGACTAAATTAACAAATTAATAGTGTGATTTATACAGTTTTTATTGTAATATATAATATACATGCTGAAACATGCATGTATAAAACTACATATATTGTTTAAGAAATGGTTTTAAAGTGAATATTTGTTAACTACCATTCAAATCAAGAGATAGAATAGTATTGGCATCCCGGAAACCATCCATGTGCTCCATGTGTCCACTTCCCTCCACAACCGCCCCTTCCTCCTCTGAGAGGTAATGACTATCCTCACATAGATGATAATCATTTACTTGCTTTTCTTCACAGTATCACCACCGATACACTCATCCTTAAACCATGTAGTTTAGTTTTGCCCGTACTTAGAGCAGATGTAAATGGAATTATACTGTACATACTCTTCCACATCTTAATTATTTCAGACTTCGAACTTCTGGCGTGATGGAGTGAGAAGGTTGACAAATCTTACCTTTGAAAAACAACTGTGAGGGGCCTGCCCTGTGGCGCAGTGGTTAAGTTTGTGCACTCAGCTTTGGTGGCCCAGGGTCCACCGGTTCATATCCCAGGTGTGGACCTACACACTGCTTATTAGGCCATGCTGTGGCAGGCATCCCACATATAAAGTAGAGGAAGATGGGCACGGATGTTAGCTCAGGGCCAGTTTTCCTCGGCAAAAAGAGGAGGATTGGTGGCAGATGTTAGCTCAGGGCTGATCTTCCTTAAACAAAACAAAACAAAAAACAACTGTGAGGTTCATCAGAATCTCAAAAACAACCATTTCAGTGCTCTGGAAATTGACCAAAATCATACTGATGAAATCTGCTGAACTTTGGGTAAGAACAGCATGAGTCTGCGGCCCTGTTGCCTGGGCTGCTCTCATCCCCTCTTTGCCCCCCAGCTTTATGGTGGTAGTTCATCCAGGTTGCGCCAGCCCAAGAAAACCAGCAGCCTTGTTGCTGTCACCAGAAGGGGCTCCTTGATTTGGATCATTGTCCATTAAAGGTGTCAGTCTTGGTGCCAAGCAGATAGGGAGAGCCAGCAGCTCCACTAGCCTGAGCTCATGGTCCCATTTAGGGCAAGCAATGGACTAGCAGGCTGCCAAAACTTAACAGGGATGTACAGACGTGAGGCAGCCATGGGGGCAGAAGACACATGCTTTTCAAGTGCACATGGAACATGCTCCAGGAGAGATCATATAGTGAATCACAAAACAAATCTCCATACATTTTAAGAGACTGAAATCAAACAAAGTTTTTTTTCTCTGACCACAACAGAATTAAATTAGGGGTCAACAGCAGTAAGAATTCTCAGTAAATATCAAATATTTGGAAATTAAACAACACACTTCTAAATAACCCCTGGGTCAAGGAAGACATCACGAAGGAAATTAAAATATTTTTGAACTGAATGAGAATGAAAACACAATATATCAAAGTTTGTGGGATGTATTGAATAAGCATTTAGGGGAAATTTTTAGCTTTAAATACCTGTATCAGAATAGGTGAAAGATCTCTAATCAATAACCTAAGCATCCTCCTTAAGAAACTATAAGCAGGAGGTAAATAGTAAAGATTAGACCAGAAATCAATGGAATAGAATCCCTCTCCCAACAGAAAAAAATCAACGAAAGCAAAACTTGGTTCTTTAAAAATATTAACAAAATTGACAAATCCTTAGTAAGTCTGAGAAAATAAAAGAGAAGATGCAAACTGCTAAAAATCAGCAATAAAAGAATAGACATCACTACCAACCCTATAGAAACTAAAAGAATTATATGGGAATATTATGAATAACTTTATGTCAACAAATTAGACAATTTCGGTGAAATGGACAAAATTCCTGAAAAACTCAAATTGCCAAAACCGACTGAAGAAAAAATAGAAAATATCAGACCTGTTAGAAAGAAAGAAATTGAACACCCATGTTCATAGCAGCATTATTCACAATCACCAAGGTGGAAACAACTCAAGTGCACGTTGACAAATGAATGGATAGCAAAATGTAGTACATACATGAAATGGAGTATTATTCAGCTTCAAAAAAGAGGAAATTCTGACATATACTGCAACATGGATGAAACTTAAGGACATTATGCTAAGTGAAATAAATCACAAAAAGACAAATACTGCGAATCCATTATTATATGCAGTGCCTAGAGCAGCCAAATTCATAGGGATAGAAAGCAGAAGGGTACTTCCCAGGGACCAGGGGAGAGAAGAACAGGAGTTATTTAGTGGGTATAGAGTTTCAGTTTTACAAGGTGACGAGTTCTGGAGATCGATCGCACAGCAGTGTGAATGAATGCACTTAACACTACTGGACAGTACACTTAACAATGGTTAAGATGGTAAATTTTATGTTATGCATATTCTACCACAATTCAAAACAAAAAAAGAAGCCTGGTTGGAGAGCACAAGACTTCAACACTTGTCACTACTCCTGTATAAACACAATGTACCCCAAAAATTTTTAAAAAGAGAGAGAAGTAAGGAAATTGAATCAGCAATTAAAAATATTCCCATAGAGAAAAGTCCAGAAGCAGAAGATTTTTTACTGGTAAATTCTATCAAATATTTAAAGAAATAATACCAAACGTTCATGAACTTTTTCCAAAAATAGAGGAGAGACTGCTTCTAAACTTACTCTGTCAAGCCACTACTTTCTTGTTACCAAAACCAGAAAAAGAACTCACAAAAAAAGAAAACTACAGACCAAGCTGGCTCATGACCATAGATACAAAAATTCTTAACAAAATATTAGCAACTTGAATTTAGCAATATATAAAAAGGATTATACCCTATGACCAAGTGGGATTTATTTCCGGAATGTTAGGTTGGTTTAACACGTATTTCTGTAAAGTATATACCAGGGAGTGGAATTGCTGGATTATAAGGTAAAAAATTTTGTAGATAAAGCCAGACTGCTTTCGGAAGCAATATGACTGGTTTTGCTACAAACAGAGAAGACAGGCGCACAGCAGGCAGATGGCCATGTGAGGGCAGAGGCAGAGCCGGGAGTGGTGCTGCCGCAGCCTGGGGCTAGCAAGGAAGCATTCTTCTCTAGAGCCTTCCGAGAGAGCTGGGTCTGCCAACACCTGGGTTTTGGATTTCTAGTCTTCAGAACTGTGGGATAATAAGTTCCTGTTTTAAGCCACAGTGTTTGTGGTAGTCAGTTAACGGCAACCCTACAAATCTAATACACCTTAGAAACGACAACCTTCCTAATTATCTTACCCAAGTCGAGAAGTCATCAGAAACTCTACCCATTCCTGGACAAACAAGGAGCACAAGGAGACCTCAGACAAGAACCTTTGATCACTTCTGCATTTCCTCTCTTCCAGCTCAGATGCTTTTGCTGTGTAACACCTTAAGTCAATCCCTTTCTCCTTCCCTAGATATTTTCATTACCATTTTATACAGCTGATGCTTATTTTATTCAACCGAATTCCCTACTTTCTTTTTTCCACAAACTTTCTTGCATCTCAGATCTTTTGTCAGCATCACCTTCTTTCTGCCTGAAGCACTTCAACAGTTCCTGTAGCGAGAATCTGCTGTTGATGTATTCTCTCAAGTTTAGTTTGTCTTTCGCTAGGTGCAGAATTCTATTGTGGCAATTATTTCCTTTGTATACATTGAAGATACCAGTCCATTGTCTTCTGCCTTCCATTAGTGCTGTGGAGAAAACTGCTAGCTGTTTGTTAGAAGTTAGTCTAACTGTCAGGCCTTTAAAGGTAACTTGTCGTTTTTTCCTCCGGCTGCTTTTTATTTTTATTTTTTTTTAGGAAGATTAGCCCTGAGATAACATCTGCTGCCAATCCTCCTCTTTTTGCCGAGGAAGACTGGCCCTGAGCTAACATCCATGCCCATCTTCCTCTACTTTATATGTGGGATGCCTACCACAGCATGGCTTGCCAAGCAGTGCCACGTCCACACCTGGGATCTGGAACCGGTGAACCCCCGGCTGCCAGGAAGCGGAACGTGCGCATTTAACCACTGTGCCACCAGGCTGGCCCCTCTCTGGCTGCTTTTAAGATTTTTTTCTTTACTTTTGTTTTTCTGCAATTTTACTATCATGCATCTAGTTGCAGATTTTTATTTTATTTATTTATGTATTTTTTCTTCCAGTTTTATTGAGATAATAATTGACATACAACACTATAGGTCTAAGGCGTACAGCAAAATGACTTGAAGTTTGTATATAATGTGAAATGATCACCATAATGTTTAGTTAACATCCATCATCTCATATAGTTAAAAAAATTTTGTTTTTCCTTGTGATGAGAACTTTTAGAATCTACTCTTTTGGCAGATTTCTTTTTTATTTATTTGCTTTGGGTTCCCTGGATCTCTTTGATCCATAGATTAATGTATTTCTCCAGTTCTGGAAAATTCTCAGCCATTTTTTCTTCATACATTTCCTCTACCTTAACCTCTCTTTCCCTCCTGCTGAAGACTTGATCAAATGTATGTTAGATTTCTCCCCATACCCTCCTTGTGTCTTACTCTCTTTTAAATTTTTTCCTTCTCCATGGTTCATGCTGGGTAATTTATATTTAATATTTATTTATATGTTATATTAAGTTAGATAGTTTTATATCTAAAATATATCTTATTTATCAGTTCACTAATTTTCCCTATGTTTTATCCAATCTGCTGTTAAACCCATTCACGGTGTTTTTAACATTGGTTATTTTAGTACTTATTTATAAAAGCTTTGTTTCTTTTTCAAATTTGCTATGACAAATTTGATAGTTTCCTATGATATAATCAGCTTCCTATAATACAGCTGTTTCCTGTAGATATTATCGAGTGTGTCATTTATTTCTTCAAGCGTGGTAATGATGGTGATGCTTTGGTCTGTCCGACGCCTCCCACGTGTGAGGGGAGGGCAGACGTCTCTGCGTTCTGTTGGATCTGCTGGACGTCATGACGGAGTGGTGCTTCCTCCTGTTCCTGCTAATCTTCGACTGCTCGCTTTCTTTGCCCCTGTAAACTTGTTTGTAGGGATAAGCAAGGCCTGGCACACACACGCCCGCCCCCTGAGAAGCTTGGGGTTTTGCTCTGTCAGGTGCCTGGGCACACTGTCAGTTGGGTACCACCTTCAACTATTTTCACAGTTTGAAATTTCTTAGCCAACTCAGGCTGTGAGTACCTGAGTGTAAAGCCTCCTACAGGCCAGTCTGGGGCCCAAAGTCCCCTGGCTTTGGGGAAAGAGGGACAGGTTTAGACTAACTTTGCCCTCACGTTGAAAATATAGCTCTTTGAAATCCCAGCTTAACGGCAAAAAGTTTTCTAAAAATTTTCACCTTGGCTGGGCTTTGAACCCTGACTTTGGCTGCCTCTTGCCCCATGCAGCACCTGAGCAGGAGCCCAAGTGAACGATTACCAGAAATGCTTTTGGGCACAAGCGCTTTAGTGTTCAATATGTCACCCATCTCTCTGGTTACAGGTCTTTCCCCAAAAATCGGCCTGGAAACTCCCCACCTGTTGCTTTGGCTCTTCAGTCCTTTCTAGGAGATGTTGGAAATATTAAAACCAGTGAGGGGGCGGATCTGAATGACACAGCTGCCATGA